AGGCATGTGCTCGGTGATAGATTATGGAGTGAATCTAACCTTGTTTTGGATTAAGTTTAAGCTAGGATCAATCTTGACTGTGGAATGAAGTTTTTCCGAACTTGGTTATTCATCATACCAACCGAGCTCATTCATTTCTTAGAACGCGATTTCTATGACTTTTGTGAAATATTTAGAGTCTAATAAGCAGTGTTTCTCTTAGTTCAGTCTTAATTTTTCAAGCAATACATTAAAAAATGATCCCCATCAAGAGACACGTGCCTAACTCAGACATGTGCTCAGTGGTAGATTATGGAATATGTCTAATCGACAATATATATATACATATGTATATATATATATATAATGTGTACAAGGGCTCGTTTTGGATTAAGTTTAAGGTGGGATCAATCTTGACCGTGGAATGAAGCTCTTCCGAACTTGGGGTTATTCATCGGCCCAGCCGAGCTCATTCATTTCTTAGAACGTGATTTCTATGGCTTTTGTGAAATATTTCAAGTCTAATTAGCAGAGTTTCTCTGAGCTTGGTCTTAATTTTTCGAGCAATGCAGCAAATATATATATATATATATATATATATATATGAAATCATGTTGGCATTACAACGCTAATGAACAAGTAATGAGCTGAGCTTTTGCTTTGTTCTCAAACAAGCTTTATTAACGGTGCATTTGGACAAACAAGAGCAAAAATAGACGAAATCACAGGTACATAGAGAGGACAACACTTGCAACGTCAATTAATAAATCAGAAAGTCTGAAGGTTTGTAGGTAATTTTCATACACAGAAGAAGAAAATGTGCGAAATTATGAAAAATTATGATCAACCCCTTCTAAGATTTTATTGGAACTTGGAAATTACGGCCAACCTCTTCTAAAATTTTGCAAAATTACTCTTACACCCCCTGCCGTTAGTAAAAAATTAAGCTAGTAAAAGGGTAAATTTTAAATTCCAAAAATACCCTTATCTTATATGAATCAAAAATGAAGAAAATGACCGCTACTAAATTTACGAAATTACTATTTTAGCCAAAGCACGGACATACATACTGCACATATATATAGATTCTCCTGCTGCGACTCCACCGCAACCTCTCTCTCCACCACCGCTGACACTCCCCACTCTTGATTTGTCTGTCACTCACCAACACCGCCCTCACCGCTGCTGCCCCTCTTGATCTCTCTCTCTCTCCACTGCCACCCCCACCCAATTCATATCACAAAATCAACATTGTTGCCTCTTCACTCCAACAAGTCACCTTTCTCCGTTGCTTCGACTCTGCTTCATCCCGATCCCAAGAAAATTACAGCCTCGCTTCCCAACATGACCGCCAAATGCTTGCCGCCACCTCTCTCATCAACCACTGGCACCGCCACCTCTCTCTCTTTATCAGTTTTCTTTGAGATTATAACTTTTTTAAAAATAATATATAGTTTTGGTCCAATTCACTGAACCCCAATTGAGAAATTTGGAAACCAAGTCAAGAATTTGAAGGAAAACATAAATGAGTATGCCATTCTTTGCTTATCAGATTTGAAAATCAACTTTCAGACATTTCAACAATATACCGAGAAACACACCTACACAATAATTAAACTTCCAACTATTATGAGTATCCACGTGAATAAGAGCGACAAAGTAAATTGAGGTACTATTCAATGCAACTCTCAGCTTCCCTACTATCTATTGGTGACTCACCTAATATTTAATATTTTGACATAGTAAATGAAGTTGTATTAGTTTCCAAAAATATAAATTTAAAAAAAAAAGAAAAGAAAAAATTAACAGCCAATGGATTACCACAGACATCATCATGAACTAAACTTATCCCTTTCTCACCTCCACCATCTTTTGCCTAAACCGAGAAAATTTACAGCATAGGGAAGCACAAGAGAATAAATAAAAGGACGAAACTGTAATAAAACATAAACAAACAATTTTGATCAAGGTAATGAAAATAAAGGAGGTAATGGAAATGATAAGCATGCCAGGAGGATGTGGGGGACGTATCTATGTACAAGTCAGTGGGATCAATTGCCCCCACTGAATTTTTTTTATTTTTAGTAATATATCCTCCTATTTTAATTATTTTGATATATATACTTATAAAATTACACAACCGCCCCAACTAAAATTACTAAAAAATTACACTATTGCCCCCTCTCACACAATTTCTTGGCTCCATCCTTGAGGATGTGTATGACAAGATAAAAGATGATAGGGGTTACATTACTCCCTTTTTTGTATTTGTTTTACACTACTCCCTCCGCCCATAAATAAATGTCACTTTTGAGGACCAATTTTTTTAAGGGCAAGTGCGACTAATGTATGTCTCTCTCAAAATTTCAAAAAGTAGCACTCCATTAAATTAAAGATATACAATGTTCTTCCATAGAAAATTTTTAAACTTTAAAGGATAATTTTAGAAAGACATAATTTTTTTACATTGGCTTTTCAAATTGCATTTAGTTTTCAATATCTAAAACTAGTAAGTTAGACACTTGTCAGAAACTAGGAATGACAATGGGAATGGGGACCTTCGTAACAAAAGGGTCCATTTTACCACATAGTATGATATTGTTCACTTTGGGTCCAAACCCGCACGGTTTTGATCTTGAATTTTATCCGAGTGATGTGGAATCGTGCACCCGTAGCCTGCCAAATCTCACATTATCTGGGTAAGCTGAAGGTGAAATGCTTATATGTGCTAGTGCTATCGCCAAATGATATGAGGCCTTTTGGGGTAAAAACTAAGAGCAAAATCGTGCGAGCTCCGGCCCAAAACGGACAATATCATACAATATGGTGAAGTGGGCTATTACAAAATGGTATCAGAGCCTAACCTAGCTGGAAGTATACCTACAGGAACATCGGGCCTTTTAGGGAGGCACTGGTAGACTACCACGCTGGTAGGCTACAGGTGCACGATCCCACATCACCTGAATGTGGAAAGGAAAAGTGTTATATATGTAGGATAGATACATTCTAAATGGTATGAAACTTTTTGGGGGTAAAACTTAAAAACACAATCGTGCAGGCTCGGGCCTAAAGCAAACAATATCATATCATGTGGTGGAGTGGGCTGTTACAACCTTCATACCCACTAAGGATGCAACTCGGGCGGATTGGAAATACAAGTTGGGCTCTATCCGACGTATGAAACGTTCAATCCTAACCCAACCTTTAAACCGAGCAAACCAACCCAAGCAAGTCGGGCTGAGATTTCGGGTTAGAATTCGAGTTGTCGCACTAAATTTATTATATAAACATTTTGTACCATTCTAACTTTATGCAACTTGTAGATTACTTTCTTATTCTTTTATGTGCTTGGAATGCAATCATCTGCCATTACACATAATTATCATAAAGACTAAAACATGAACCTCCATTTTTTCACAACAGAAATAATTGAAGATAATGGCTAATACATCGGGTGAAGTGCAAAAAAAATCCCTGTAGTTTGAAAAGTGTGAAAATAACACCCCTCATGTTCAAATCCCACCCCTGTAGTATGAAAAGTGAGCAAACAATGGCTTATTGTCGGTTAAATAAAGTGAGAGGCAAAAATACGAAAATGCCCCTCAAGATTCTCTTTACAAAAATAAAAAAAATAAAAAAAGCGTAGAAGTTGAAATCACAAAATTAAAGAGTATAATCAAATGAAATATAATGTAAAAATATATATATATATATATATATATATATATATATATATATCTTTAAATCAAAAAAATAATTTTTATTATTATCTTTATTTAAAAATCAAATGAAATATAATGTAATATATATATATAAAGTCAAGTGCCAAATCATATGCCTAGAATAATTACTAAATAATAATATAAATAAATATAAAAATACTATATACTTTCCGTACGGAATAAACTATTTTCTTTTATACAAATGACAAACACTTAATGCTTTACCAAAGATTTCATTCTTAAAAGAGTATATAATAGGTATAGACATTTAGCTGTATATATATTCGTCTTATCGATATTTAATTTTATTCTTTTTTTTAGTAAATTAGTATTTAATTATTTGATCACGTGAATATGGAAAAATAAATTACTAACATAATATATAAATCACTTTTACGTTTTAGAAAAAATTATTATTTATATACAAAAACTATTATTGAATATATACACACAACCCAACATCACACACATGGACATACAGATAGTCTCTGACACACACTAGGATATAAGCAGAATTTTTGAAGAAATATAAATTTTATTTATTTATTATTTATTATTATTAGTATTAAAGAAATAGAATTTATATACGTGGGAGAGAGCCGTTAGAGAGACAGAGAATGAGAAGAAAAAAATATATACAAACAGAAATTATAGAGAGAGAAAGAATATATAAATAGAGTACTTATAGAGAAAAATAATGAAATTGGGGTATTATATATAGACATAAGGGAGAACTGAATGAGGGGTAGTTTGGGAAGTCCAAAAGGGTAGTGTTGGTACATGTCACTTTTTCGGGCCAAAAGCCTTTGTTTGCTCATTTTTCATACTACAAGGGTGGAATTTGAGCATGAAATGTGTTATTTGCATACTTTTCAAACTACATGGAGTTTTTTTTGCATTTCATCCCTAATACATCCATCCTATAACATAATAGCAAATAGACCATTGACCAAGCCAACTGACCATAACTGAATATATATATATATATATATATATAGTAGTAGTATATTTAAAAATAGAAATATATATATATGTATATATATATAATAAAATTAAAATTCTAGTTAGGGTTGCTAGCGCCTCAGCCCAAGCCCAATCCTAATCAAGTTGAACTGAGATTTTTCAACCCAACCCCAAACCTAATTGTAAAAACAGTTACCCAAACCCATAAAAAATAAGGTAGGGTTCAAGTTAGCCCACCTAAGTTGCACCCCTAATACCCACCCTGCTCTATCTTTATTTATTTATTATTATTAGTTTTTTTTTTTTATGGTGAGTGTATGTGTATGTAGTGTAGCACAATTTTTTTTTTTTTTTTTTTGATAAGTAAAGATGTATAAAAAGTGCTCAAAAGGGGAGCGCATCCCAATAGAACAACACAAGGCCAAAAAATTAACAATATTCTCTAAAGATCTATAATCTCTTCCTGAAACCCAACCAAAAAGAGTGGAAATAATAGAGAATCTAAGAATAGAAGTAGTGTAGCACAATTGATGAATAAATACATATGAGAACACAATTATGGATTTAAATTATGTGTGTACTCACTCGGAAAAAATATATATGTATGTATTTAATAGATTTTAGTAATAAAATAAAAATGAAATAAATTACCATATATTTAATACATAAATGGGACAAGGTGGGATGGGAGACCCCTTCACAGACTTGCCCTATCGGTGCAGATTATTTTTCTTTACCCATTGCCGCTCCATCACATTTAAACTACCCTAATATCTAGAGGTGTGCAAAAAGCCGGTTTAACGTATAAACTGGACCGGCCGGTGTGGTCCAATTTTTTCACGATTTGGCTTGATCCCGGTTCCAAAAAACATGGAACCGTTTAAAATGTATTTAATACATGTTAATAATAAAATAAAATTTGGGTCAGGTGCAAAAAAAACCTTCACTATATACAATGTGTGCAAGAAACTCCCCATTAGAAGGGGGGGAAAAAGTGCATATAACTCCCTGTATTATCAATCTTTTGAGCAAATTGCCCCCAATCATCAATTTTGACCAATTTTTTTTTTAATAAAAATCCCAAAATACCCTCCCTAGCAAGAATTTTATTTTATTTTTTTTCTCTATCATTTCTCTCTCTTCAAACCATCTCTATCCACTCATCACGGTGCCGGTAAACACCATTTCCAGCGAGCAACAAAAGACCCAAGTTCAGCAATTTGAACTGCGTGAAGCTTTGAGCAAAACAACGACCCAAGTGCATCAAACAGACCGGAGAAGCTCCGAGCTGAATCAAAGTTCAACATCGTTATCCAAGCTCAATCCTTGCATTGCTGGCAAGTACCAAGACTCCAAGCTCATTGTGCTCACCGAGTAGTTGCCCACCGGCATTCCAAGCTGCCACTGCTCGCTGGTGTGGAAGCTCTATGCATCGCCGTCAGCCTTGTTTTCTCCAAGCTTCCTACAACTCATCATTGCCCATCGGTAAGCGCCAACCTCCTTGCATCGTCACCGGTTCAATTCAGAAGACCCACTTCTTGCCGAGTACTCCTTGCTCGTCGCCGGTGCAATATCTCCGTTACCGCCACGCAATACTCCTTGCTTGCAAGTTCATCGCCAACATCAGCCTAGGCCTGCCATTCGTCGCCGGTAAGTTGTTTGCTCACAGTCGATCCATGCTCGCCGAAATCGCGACTCCTACAGTCACTACAGCCGCCCTTTCGTTCAATCCGTTTACTCCCATTTCAACGCCAAACTCCATGCTCCCCGGTAAGAATAGTTCATTTCGCCGCCAGTTCCGTCCTATTGAGTCCTTGCTTCACCGTCGGTTTCTCTCGTCGTCGGCGTTGAGCCTTGCTCGTTGGTTCATTGCTCATCTCTCTCTCTCTCTCTCTCTCTCTCTTCTGCTGGTGGTGGTTGTTAGCAAATATGAAAGTGACCGGGAAAAATGTCGCCAAAAAGAGAGGGATAAGAAAATGAAAAGTTGAGAAATAAAGGAGAGAGATCATTTTGTCTATTCGTTATTATTTTTTTATTTCTTTTATGGGGGGTATTTTAGACATTTCAATTGCTAAATTGACATAATGTTCTTATTTGCAAAAATTGAAACAACAGGGGGGTTTCTTGCACATCTTTTATATGGTAACGAGATTTTTTGCACTTAACCCATAAAAATAAAAGATATTATCATATATATATATAATACATAAATGGGGCACGGTGGGATGGGCGACCACTTCCCAGACCTGCCCCATCCGTGCAGATTATTTTTATTTGCCCATCACCGCTCCATCCTGTTTAAACTACCCCCATAACAACAGGGGGTGCAAAAAAAAAAAAAAAAAAAACCAATTGAATCGGTAAACCGAACTGGCAGGTCGATTTGATCCATTTTTTCACGATTTGGTTTAGTCCTGGTTCAAAAAATATGGAACCATTTATAAACAGTTCGATTCCGGTTTGAGATCCTATAGGTACAAACCAAATCGAACTGAAGCGCTATATATAATATATATTATATAATAGAATATTATATTATATTTCATTTTAGCACAAAACCGAACTGAACTGAATTGGACTGTTCCCTCATGGTTCAGTTCCATTGGTTTCACGATTTGGTACGGTTCCAATTTTTATAAAACTGTTAGGACCGGTTTGGTTCGAAAATACTTCTAAACTAGTCTATTTCGAACCGTGTGCACCCCTACCCATACCTATCCCATTAGGGGGGAGACCAATGGGGAGGGGGCAAAGTGCCATCCCTTTTCGAAATGGAGAAAGTATAAATGTATTTTTGAAGTATTTATCATTTTAGAAGTAATATGCATGGACTAGTCTTGTAATAAACTTATGCGTGACCTTCTAGACTATTTATATGTATTTAAAAAAGTGTTTTATATTGCCAAGGGCTATTGCCTTGTGGTACTCCCTCACCTTCTCAATGGAAGGTCCAGAGTTGAAGTCCCATTAGGAGTTTCAACTAGGAAAAAAAACCTATGTTTTATATATTTGTAGCACATTGTTGAGTCTCACTAGAAACTGAGACAAGGCATTAACAGCGAGTGAAAGAGTGTGGTTGTTATTTCTTTTATTTATCAGGGGCACTATTGTCCTTATGTCTAATTAATATAATAGATGAGAGGTGTGGGAAACCCTAACTTTTTTACTCACCTTTCACAGAACTCTCTCTCTCTCACTTTTCTTCTCTACTTCTACAAACCCTAATTTCTTCAATTTTTACTTGTGTTCAAACCTCACCTCTCTGTCACCTTGATAATTAAAATTGTAACACGTGTTGGACCAAAAGAAGCCACACGTGAGTGGGCATGTTGAAGGATTCTCTCTAACCACCACACTCTAACAGTAAGAATTCCCTATGCCCACCAAGACAATGCTTCAGACAACCTCAAACCATAGATGTTCCCAGAGACCCTCTAACCACAGAGTACGAGGAGCTTCAGATGACTTGAGATTAGGTCTGTTAAGGTAATTCTCTTATCATGTCTTAATGCTTTAAATCGTTTAAAACTATGAAACAAAGAGAGTAGAGTTTGGGCCACTCACTCACATGACACAAGGTTTGTAACTTTCAACACTAATTAGTTAAAAAATAGGTGAAAGAGATCCAATGCTAAAGATAATGATTGATTAAAACAGTATAAAATTTTCTACACATACAGTACCTGTTGCCTTGTGAACCTAGAGCATATTTACCCACTAAGCATTCCACAACCACACTAAGAAAAGGCAGAATAGAAAGAAATATATCTCTCTACAGACTATTGCTTTGAAATGCAATAAACCAACCTGAGTTTTTTCTTATGCTTAACTGATCACTCCTGGAGCTTCCCAATTTCAGTGTTGCTCTTTTACCACTTTCAGCATAGGGTACATTCCAGTGGAAACGCATGAAATACCTGCCACCAGAAAGAAAGTTCAGATTATATAAAATTAGCCACCAGAACAGAACACCCTCCACCTCCATTTTCATAATATATATATAATATAAAACTACTAAAGTAAGGACGACAAATAGTAAAAAGAAAAACAAAAATAAAAAACAGGGGAGTATGGGTTCCATGGATTGGAATATTTACAAGTTCATTTTCCTTTAAGTAAGTACATTGACCCCTAGGACAGATATGGGACTTAAACTCAGTCACTCTTTCTCAAAGAAACAGAAACCATATTGTGTGGCCCTCGCGAGTGCAATCAGTGTGAAGACTAACTGGTCCAGCTCAACAGAAATTTCATAATTCATGAACATGAATGACAGATTATAGATTCATTTGATCATAGAGGAAACTAATCTTGGTATTATTATCTTATGGAACAGCTTTCTAAAATATAGACGCAGTTGAAAATTCCCGCTTTTTCAAAAAATTGAGTTTACAACATTCAGACTGTTGATTTGTCAGTCATGTAAAATAAGAAATATCCAAAACTACAATAAATATCCGACTTGAATCCATCTCGCTTCTACATATGTTCTCAAAAATTGTTAAAAAGATGCCGTATTGCTAATATTTCTTCTCATTAGACACACCATTCTCAACTTTGTTGTCATAGCCATGATATGGAACTTCAATCATGGGTCTGGGGACAGGTCGGTTGCCGAAGTCTTCAGGAAAGAACTCAAAATCAGGGCCAAAGTTGAACTTCACGACGCAATTGGGTTGATTTGGAAGCGTATACATTGAAGCAGCAGGGTAGTAACGGCCACCATACAGATCCTGGAAAGCAACCCCTTGGCATATCCCATTTTTATAGAAAGATATCTCGCTTCCTGCACAAGAAAAGGCAAAATTTTATACGAAAGGCAATCAACAACTTTGCCAATATTTCTCAAGTTCAGAAAGAGAGATCAACACTGCTCACAACAAATTAACATCTCCTCATCAAACACTGAAGAGGCTCTCAAAAGATTTGGAATGATAAAAGATATAAGCATTTAACCTTCAAGCAACTGAGAAGAGGGGGAAAAGGGGGTTTCAATATATAAAATAAAAAACTGGACAACACAAGCATGCTTAATTGCGGAGTAATCTGGTGCATTAGTGCTGGTATGGTCATAGTGACTTATTTAAGCAATCACAGAAGCCAGTGACCTAAGGATCCATGAAAGAAATGTTTATCGTGAGAGAATATGAGTATAAATAAAAGATGTAGAGAGAGAGAGAGTATCTAACATCTCTGTCCAGTTTCAGGGGAAAAGCTCTTTCCATTCAGAGGGGCTTATGGCTTCAAGGAAATAACGGTCAAGATGCCATTTTTGTCTGTTATAGGCAGTCTTTCTACTCAAATGAGGAGCAGGTTAAATAAAGAAAATTGTCAAGTTGGATAGTTCTTAAAGTCTTAACTTGTCATTTATGCCCATCTTTTTGACATATTCCTCTCTTTAAAGATTATCCTCAAAGCTCTAAGAGGAAGTTATAAAGGGTTATAACCTTCATGCATTCAAACATCAACCTTATAATCTTATTGGAAAGTATCCCAGAGGCTAAGTCCTTAACTTGGACATTCTCATATGAAGGGTAACAACAGTGATTTACTCCAAAGGGACCTAGTAAATATTTTTTTCTCGGATAAAGAACAATTTTATTATAAAAAGATGAAAGAAAAAGAGGATAGGACTCCCGTCCCATGAAGAAACAAGAAAATAAAGAACCTCAAAACAATGAACAAAAGAAAACACCACTACTTGTGGAACCACGAAATTTTTCATTGTTACATTTTTGGTTTCTACGTGTATATTGTTATGACAAACGCAACGAACCAAGAACAAAACAAGAATCACGACAGAAAAGTAAGCATGCCACACACAAAGAACACAAAGATTTAAGTGCTTCAACATAAGCCTACTCCATGGTGAAGATAAAGATTTCACTATGAAAAAAATCAGGAGATTACAAGTTTTGAACCCCAAACCCTAGCTCTCACTCTCACTCTCACTCTCTTTCCTGCGATTTTGTGTCTCTTGTTATCCTACTCCAAACCCTAAACACCCTTAAATACTTAGGTACAAGAGAGTACTAAACAGGGTCCAAGACCCACAAGCAAAAAGGGGTCAAAACCGGGTCACAACAAAATTCGGGCCACAACATCATATATATTATAAACTGTAACCTTATTTTACAATTCACAATTTGCGATTCAAAAATGGGATACCAATTCACAATTGGAATCCTGATTTAAAAACAATGGTTAGATTTTATGACTAATAGGGCTATCAACATATAAAAGTGAGTCTAAACTACTTGGAATCAGTCTTTTTAACAAACCCGGTGATTGCTCTTCAACGAGCTTGTAGATCAGAAAAGCAGGATATGTTTTGATTTCATCTATTCTCTCTTACAGATTATTAAAATCTCTTTTGCATAACAGAAACACTATAATATTAGTTTATGCGACCGTTTGCATCAACTAGGAGATGAGGAAATTAACACAGTACCAATAAAACACCTTTGGAACCTAGAAAAGCTAAAAAGTGAGGGAAGCCTTGGAAGGTGATACAAGAAGGACACCGCACAAAGGTCCTTCCAGAATCAGATCATTGTCCCTTTTCCCACAAGAAATCTATCTACTAAGAAAAGAAAAGAAATGAGCCACTGAGGGAACTTCCATGGGAAATAATAACATTCCCCATTTCCAACATAGAATTTTTACAATTACCTTTACAGACCATTCCTGCTTTTGTTGACCACGTACAAAACCAAGCATTGCTTAATCAGGAACCTCCATACCGCTTTTTAATAACAGCAAATCATTCAGGTTAAATTGCGCAAGCCTAAGCCAACTTTTGTCTTAGAGAAACCCAAAAAAAAAAAAACAAATCCAAATAAATAAGATAAGTCTTTTTTACCCTCCCCACTACCCTTGGCAAATCCTTCTACAGTCTCTCAAGGCTGTTAAAATTTGAATGAGCTTGAAGAGAGAAAGGCTGTAAAAGGGGTTGTCAAACATGAGCAAGATAAATCAGAAACTTTCCCAACCTTCGGAACTACGGTTCCGTTTGGTAAGAAGGATGAAAAAGTGAGTTGGAAGGGAGAGTAGAAAGAATGGATGAGGCATCCTAGGGAAGGGAAGGTGTGTTCTTTTTTTGTGTGTGGTTAAGTGGAAGGAATAGTAGAAAGGATTGATGAGGTGTTTCTTTGTTTGAAGGAAAGGGATGAAATATTTTATATTTTTTACCATTATACCATCATTAAGAATTTGACAAAAATTAGTTAAGGCAATAATATTACTTAAAATTGTACATCATAGTTATCCTTCTCTTCCTTCCTTTCTTCCTCTCTTCCATCCAAATGCGAGGGGATGAAAATTCTCGAGTGAGGAGGATGGCTCATCCAATCATTATTTCCCTTCCCACCAGCTTGCCCTCCAACCAAACAATTGAAACTGGTTTTATCCCTCTATCCTTCCCTCACACCTCTAGAAATGAGTCCAAAGATCAGACAGATCTTATTCAGATGAAAGAGCCGGAATCCGGCTCCACCGGAGTTGGGATGTTGTGACAATCCGCAACCTGCTTTAATCCTTGGGTTATAGACTGTGTGGTGGTTGCGTTTGCGTGAATAAGCATATACCCAACTAGCAGGATTCTTCTAGTATGAGACTCTAGTGTCAAATGTATAATTATCATCCTGACCCTCGTCTCGAAACGTAAGCATAACAGTCCATTAAAATTCTTGATATACCCTCTTAGTGCTCCCCGGTTTCATTCTCTTTTCTTTAACTTGTAAGAGAGCAAGTACTTCATATGCAGTCCAGCTATCCTCTATGACAAATCCAAATATTTAATTTACCATGCTGAAAGTTGGCTAGTTACCTCAAGCTAATGGAAACTGCTTCTACGTATTTGTAATTTGTGTAAATACGCACCTAGATCCTAATCTCAAAATGTAGCACTGCTTTACTCAGCCTTGTCTGAAATTCTCAATGTAAACCTAAAAGTTCATTTAAATGTTTGATATATCTTGCGTTAGTGCTCTCGAGTTACTTTAGCATTTTAACTTGTAAGGGAGCAAGTACTTCATTTGTAGTCCAACTATACGTGGCTCGAGTGAAAAATGCCTGCAATTTTATTATGCCAAAAATTGGTCAGTTATCTCAAGTTAATGGAAACATCTTCTACTTCTTTTTCTATTACTTTCAAAGTAGACAACTCACTGCATATCATATCTGACAGAATAATTTGACTCCCAGAAAAAAAGAAGACTCTTTCCATCTCAAGCGCAGGTGTGTGTTTCAGAACTTTTCAGAATTTCACAAATCATCAATCTGAACTTCTATTATACCATTTCATTTTAAAAATAAAAAATAATCTATATATTCGTTGATAGCAAATAATTTTTCTTTATTTATCAAAGTAAAACATTATAAGATATCATATCTGCTCCAAATTCACTTGTTCCATCATTTTCGATCTTCTTTTTCTTTTATCCCCTTTCTGGGGATAAATGGTGGGGTTAGAACCCTAAAGTTTACTTCATCATAGCCTGTCTTGCAACAATTGAAGGTATTAAAGATACACACTTTGACTCAATGTTATACATCTCCTCTGTCCCTTTGATTTTCTTCAAAAGTAGAAACTTTTTAAGTTGTCCAATGAACTCAAGGGAAAATAGAAAATAGCAAAGAGGGATCACAAAACGGCCCTTCTCACTAGTTCTTTTCCTAGCCATGCTGACTGATCATTTCTAAGGAGATGATAATCTTAGGTGACTGCAAAAGTAAATGGCATGCATCTAAATTGTTGGAAGAAAATTAAAAGGAAGACTTCTTTGAAGTTCCAGAAAAGAAAACTCAGATAAGCATAAAAAACATTAAGCTTATAAATAATACAGTTAGCAACTAATCTGGGGAGCTTTTTCAATATAAAATTTACAGGTTACTCAGTGAGTAAAATGCGATTCGCAGATATTGGCAAATGCTCTTACAATTGTTACCAAGTAATTAACATTATTCATATTTCAGTGTTGACATATGTATATGTATCGATTTATCAAGTAATCAATACTATTATTTATATGTCAATGTTGTATATACATGGAGAAATTGATGTCTTTGTTAATTTAATAAAATATATATCAAGTAATTAACATTATTTATATATCAATGTTGATACATGTATATACATGGAGAAAATCAATGTCATTTTCAATTTGATAAAATATATAATGATTTCTATAAAAACTTGAAAAAAAATTAGAAGAGACACCACAAAGCAAGCAAGAGACAAAGTATTTACACAAGAACTCAAATGATACGTGTATGTGGCATGCACATATTCAAAAGTATATCCTTAGGTAAGAAAAAATTATGTTTGTAATCATAACATCTAAAATTAATATCACAGATAAAGAAGAAAACAAAAATAAAATAAAGGACACACACTTATCAATTATATGTATACACTTTTAGTTATTTAATTTAAAGAAACCAAATGAAGACAAATCATCAAAATAATAATGGAAGAAGTATAGAGTAGAGGTTGCACTAGAGAGCAAGAGAGAGAGAGACCGAGAAAGCGAGAAAGAGAGCGAGAGAGAGAGAGAGAGAGGTGCTCATTGAAAAGTTCAAAGAAAAAGAACAAATATTGATGTAAAAATTAGTTCTAGAATTTCTTTCAATATCAACAAACCAGTGATCTACCAAGGTTTTGGAATGCTCAATTCAACTTAAATCAACAAATCCATGCCTCAAGTATTTAAAGCCAGCTAGATGAATCATATCTCGCTATTCCATGACTTTAGTCAAACCAAACACCATTTTATATTTGTGTCT